TTTCGTATGATCAGCGAAGCTGACCACACTCATCAGGTGGTATCCTATGTGCAACTGATATAAAAAAAAAGAGATTAAAAGAGAGGTATTGCTTATCACATTGGATGGCCTATTGTCTATAGTTGATCCTGCGCTAATAGATTATGCGCTAATAGATTATCACTGCATTTAATTGCTAGACATATAATGGTTGATCTACAGATATTTAATACGTGGTTCATTGGTTGCATAATAAAAAATTTCTTTCTGTGTCTACAAGTAGATACTAATTCATTTCTCCTGTTAAGTGAGCCTAGTTCTGGGTGACAGATTATTAGAAACTTTTCATGTAGACAGAGGTTACATCTTTTGGTAGCATTTGTATAAGCCCTGTCTCTTATACACATCTAGATGTGTATAAGAGACAGATATTAGGCTTAGGGCTAGAAAGGGCAGATTAAAGCATTCAAGTACTGTTCTTATGTTTAGCATTTATAAATGAGCTGGTGTGATTAGCGTATCTTTTTTTGAAGCTGTTCTCTGTTAAACCACCTGATGAGTGTGGTCAGCTTCGCTGATCATACGAAACAGATTTGTGGGTCATTCTTCGCTAATGTGCCATTTTAGAGGTTTAGAAATCATGAAAAAAAAAGTTTAAAATTTGTAATTTTTTTATTACACATGTCATCATTATGCCATATAACAACTATAATAAACATTCGGCACGATAATTAGGGCATTTTAAACGTTTATTTAAGCATTCAATTTTCAGTGCTGTAACATAGTGTAGCAAATATTTCAAGAATCATCTCATATTGCAAGAATCATCTCCATCACACTTTTTGTGACGGAGATGATGATATACATATAGATGTGAATCTTAGTAAATTTAAAAGATAGATTGTATTATTTAAATATAGGATAATGTACATTGAACAAACGGGTTTCTAACAACATAAGTCGTATCAATTACCATTTTTATTTTATAGCTGTTTCTGAGAACGGAAAACATCAAGAAATCATCTCCATCACACTTTGTTGTGACGGAGATGATGATATACTCATAAATGTGAACCTTAGTAAATTTAAAAGATAGATTATATTATTTAAATATAGAAAAATAAACATTGAGCAAAAAGGTTTCTAACAACATAAACCAGATCAATTATAATTGTTATTATAAATTCTTTTTTGAGGAAAGAAAACATCAAGAAGTCATCTCCATCACAGTAAAATTGTGATGGAAATGACTGTGACGGAGATGAGGAATTAAACTTGTTAGATCATATAGTTCCATATGTAGTGTGTTACAGGGTGAATGTCATGTGTACTTTGAAAATGACACAGTTCTGATCGTATATATAATTATTTTTTTCTAAAAAAATTAAAATAAAGGATACTCTGAAGCGTTCGGAGATGATGCTGAATAAAGGTACTTTCCTAGTTGTTATTAGAAAAGCATGAATTCTTCAGCTATAGGTGGTTTAACTGTACAAGAATGGACTGTTTCTTACTA